GAGAACTGGACAGCTACGTGCAAAAAAATGAGACTTGAGCACAGACTTATGCCATACACCAAAATAAATTCAAGGTGGATAAAAGACTTAAATGTAAGTCGTGAAACCATTAAAGTCCTAGAGGAAAACATTGGGAAGAAAATCTCAGATATTTCACGCAGCAACTTTTTTAGTGATATGTCTCCTAGAGCAAGGAATGTAAAGGAAAGAATAAACAAATGGGATCTCATCAAAATAAAAAGCTTCTCCGTGGCTAAAGAAAACAGTATTAAATTAGCAAGACAACCAACTGTATGGGAAAACATTTGCCAATGATACCTCAGACAAAGATTTAATCTCCAAAATATACAAGAACTTACACGACTCCACTCTAAGAAGACACCCAACCCAATTAGAAAATGGGAAAAGGACTTGAACAAACACTCCTCCAAGGAGGACATACAGAACATTCAGAGACATATGAAGAGATGCTCAATATCGTTAGCTATCAGAGAGATGCAAATTAAAACCACAATGAGATACCACTTTACACCAGTCAGGATGGCTATCATAAACAAAGCAACAAACAACAAATGTTGGAGAGGGTGTGGGGAAAAGGGGTCCTTAGTTCACTGTTGGTGGGATTGCAGACTGGTACAACCATTATGGAAAACACTATGGAATTTTCTCAGAAAAATAAAAATCGACCTGCCTTTTGACCCAGCAATTGCACTGCTGGGATTATATCCTAAGAATCCTAAAACATCAATATCAAAGAACCTATGCACCACAATGTTCATAGCAGCACAATTTACAATAGCCAAGAGTTGGAAGCAACCTAGGTGCCCATCAGTAAATGAATGGATCAAAAAATTGTGGTACATATACACAGTGTAATTCTATGCAGCAGAGAGAAAGAAGGAGCAACTACCTTTTGCAACAACATGGATGGAACTGGAAAGCATTATGCTGAGTGAAATAGGCCAGGTGCTGAAAGACAAATACCATATGATCTCAACTTTAACAGGAAGCTAAACAACAAAACAAACAAGCAAGCAGGAAAAATAAAAAAACAAAGACACTGAAATAGAGAACAAGGGGATAGTGACCAGAGGGGAGAAGGAAGGGAAGTTAAGGGGAAAAAGGGGGAGGGATTTGGAGGAGCAAATAGGAAGGACACAGGGACGAGAACTAAGGGGGGGTGGAAATGGGAGGGAGGTGGGGAGCAAGGGGCGGGGGAGGCTGGGATGGGAAAAATAGACAAAAAACTGTACTTGAAAAATAACTAAATAAAATTAATTAAAAAAGAAAAAAAAAGAGGACTCACAGCAAGGCAGGGGCTGGAGTACTGGGTGGTCCCACATTCGCATGCAGGTAAACCAGGAACAACTGGAGAGTGAGATAGACTGTACAACCCAGGTCAGTACAGGGAAATAAAGCCTCAAAGCCTCTGTCTGAAATATACTTTCAAACAGTTGTAGCGGCAGGAGAAACTCCTAGTGTCAAAGGAGAGTTTGTTGGAGAGGCCCACTGGATCCTAGAATGTACATAAACCCACCTAGCTGGGGAATCAACACCAGCAGGACGCAATTTGGTTATGGGTAGTGGGAGAAATGACTGAAAATCTGCAGAGAGCAGAGCAAGCAGCACTCTTCCCTTCAAAATATTCAGTCATGAAAGGCAAGGACCTACATTCAAGATTACTCTATCCAGCAAAGCTATCATTTAGAACAAAAGGGCAGATAAAGTGCTTCCCAAATAAGGTCAAGTTAAAGGAGTTCATCATCACCCAGCTCTTATTATATGAAATGTTAAAGAGACTTATCTAAGAAAAAGAAGATAAAAAATATGAACAGTAAAATGACAACAAACTCACAGCTGTTAACAACCAAACCTAAAAAAATAAATAAATAAACAAACTAAGCAAACAACTAGAAATGGAACAGAATCACAGAAATAGAGATCACATGGAGGGTTATCAGTGGGGATGTGGGAGGAGAAGAGAGGGGGAAAAGGTACAGAGAGAAAGAGTATAAATGGCAAATAGAAAATAGACAAAAAGAAATTAAAAATAGTATAAAAAATGTAGAAGGAAGCCAAAGACCTTATAAGTACAACCCATGGACATGAACTGAAGGGGGAATGTTGGTGAGAAGGGGTGTAAGGGTGGAGGGAAATAGAGGGAGGGAAATGGGACAACTGTAATAGCATAATCAATTGAATACACTTAAAAATAAATAAACAAACCTGCAGATTAAAGTAAAGAAAAAGTTTATATGGAACCATAAATGACCCCGAATAGCTGCTTCAATTTTGAGAAAGAAGAACAAAGTAGGAGGGATCACCATACCTGATATCAAACTGTATTACAAGGCCACTGTAATCAAAATAGCCTGGTACTGGCACAAAAACAGGCACATGGGCCAATGGAACAGAACAGAGAGCCCAGAAATAAACCCAAGTCTTTATAGTCAATTAATATTTGACAAAGGAGGGCAGACACATAAAATGGAGTCAAAATAGTCTCTTCAACAAATGATGTTGGGTGATCTGGACAGCTACATGCAAAAAAAAATGAAACTTGATCACCAACTTATACCACACACAAAAATAAAAACTCAAGGTGGATAAAGACTTACATATAAGTAATGATACCATAAAAGTCCTAGAGGAAAACACAGGCAGGAAAATCTCAGACATTCCTGAGAGCAGCAACATTTTTACTGATATGTCCCCTAGAGCAAGGAACATAAAGGAAAAAATAAACAAATGGGATCTCATCAAAATAAAAAGCTTCTGCATGGCTAAAGAAAACAGCATTAAAATGAAAAGAGAATCAACTATATGGAAAAACATAGTTGCCAATGATACCTTGGTCAAGAGCTTGATCTCCAAAATATATAAAGAACTCACATGACTCCATTCCAGGAACACAAACAACCCAAATAAAAAATAAGCAAAAGAAGAGACACTTTTCTGAGCAAGACATACAGTAGGACCAGACATATGAAAAGATGCTCAGCATCACTAGCCATCAGAGAGATGCAAATTAGAACCACAATACGATACCATTTCACAGTGGTGACAATGGCCATCATAAACAAATCAACAAACAACAAGTATTAGAGAGGATGTGTAGTAAAGGGAACCTTAGTGCACTCTTGGTGGGGAAGGCAGACTGGTGCAGCCACTATGGAAAACAGTGTGGAATTTTCTCAGAAAACTAAAAACAAAATTGCCTTTTGAACTGGCAGTTCCACTGCTGAGGTTATATCTAAGAACCCTGAAACACCAATGCAAAAGAACCTATGCACCCCAATGTTCATAGCAGCACAATGTACAGCAGCCGAGTGCTAGAAGCAACCTAAATGCCTATCAATAAATGAGTGGATCCAAGTGGTGAAAGACAAATACCACATGATCTCACCTTTAACAGGAACCTAATCAATAAAACAAACAAACAAGAAAAATACAACCAAAGACACTGAAATAGGGAACAGGCTGACAGTGAGCAGAGGGGAGAGGGGTGGGAATTTCAAGGGAAAAGGGGAAGGGTTTACAGGAACAAGTATAAAGGACACATGGACAAAAACAAGTGGTGGGGGTGGAAATGGGAGGGAGGTGGGGAGGGCTGGTGGGGTGGACTGGGATTGAAATAAAAGGCAGAAAACTGTACTTGAACAAAAATTAAAATAAAAAATTAAAAAACTAACTATGGTACATTTACACAATGGAATTCTATGCAGCAGAAAGAAAGAAGGAGCTCCTACCCTTGGCAACAGCAGGGATGGAACTGGAAAGCATTATGCTGACTGAAATAGGCCAGGTGTTGAGGGACAAATACCCTATGATCTCACCTTTAAGTGGAGCCTAATCAACAAAACAAACAAACAAGCATAATATAACCAGAGACATTGAAATTAAGAACAAAGTAACAGTAACCAGAGGGGAGGTGGGAAGGGGTAATGTGGGGGAAAGGGAGAAGGGTTTTCAGGAACGTGTATAGAGAACACATGGTTAAAACCAAAGGGTGGGGTGGAAACAGGGAGGGAGATGGGGATTGCTGTGGTGGAGGGAGAGTGGTAGGGGATAAATGCAGACAACTGTACTTGAACAATAATAAAATAATTTTAAAGAATAAATAAAGTCAATGACCTTTGTAAACTGCTTAGAAACTGCCTGGCACATAGAAAGTGCTTCAGTTTAGAGAAAGTAGTGGTAGCACCATCCCTTGGAAGTGGAGGGAGAAAACATTAAAAGAGAGTAAAAGGCTTATGAGCCTTTTCTAAAGAAGGTGGTCAGCAAAAGTCAAAGAACTCTAGCTTTTACCTCAGTTTATTACTCATAAGCAAGTCTTTTATGACACACAAAGAACTCCAATTACCCCCAGAACTTGGCATCCTCCTTGGGGAGCCAGCGAAAGGATTCTTTCTAGAATCTCATTGGAAAGGATTCTGACCAAATGAACATGGGGCACCATTATAACAATGGGCTCTCTGACACCCCAAAAAAGGAAAGATGATATTCTTCTGCACCTCATCTGGGAAATTCTGACCTCTCTATAGACAGATACAAATTAAAGCCTTAAAGATACATCATAAGCTCCCACACCTGACTCTTGGCCTTCAGAGATAACCTTCTTCATTCTTCACAATGGAAGGCTTCCTTCCAGCTATTGATCTGTGGGGCCTTCCCTGTACATCTGTACACCCCCAGCCTCATCTCACCCTACCCATTTCTTCCCTTTTCTTCTGGAGTCACACGAGCCTACTCCAGGCCCTTACAGACTCAATTCCTCCCATCACTCAGCTGGTACCTATGCTGTTCCTTACACCTGGTTAAGTACAACATGCTCAGATCTTAGCTTACAGAACAAATGCTCATTCAGCAGTGTGCCTGTCCCTATTAGTGTCTGTCATTTGTTTGTGTGACTTTCATTAATGTCTATCTGTACTCTGAGTCCAAGGAACAAGGACTAGGTAATTCTGGTTCCTCCCTCCTTTCCCTGGTCATATGCTCACCATCATTGATCCTTCCAGCCAAGGACTCCGCACTGAAGCCAGCAAAGATGACTGTGTGGACAGCTCCAATCCTGGCACAGGCAAGCATTGCAGCCACAGCCACTGGGGATACAGACATATAGATGGCCACACGGTCCCCTCGACAAACTCCATGCCTCTTCAACATGTTGGCCAGGCGGCATGTAGTCTCCAACAGCTCCCTGTGGCAGAGAAGAGAAGGCTATCACAGATGGAAGAGGCCCAAAACTCAGAAAAATTTGGAGTGGAATGATTCTGCAAGTACTGCATACTTAGCCAGTGCCTGGAGGATAGCAGACAATTAAATACTTATTGCATGGTAAAGTCTTTTCCAGAAAACAATGCTTTTAACTTTGTAGACTGTGACTGACAAAGATTCATTGTCACTGCTGAGGTAAAATGACTGTCCTTGCATCTGTTTACCAGATGGCTTCTCAAAGGCCACAAGTGTCCAAAGTGAAGATCATCATATCCCTGAGACTTCTCAAAATGTTCACCTCCAAAATAAAGATTTCATAAGTAAGACAGTTAGTGGGAAGAAGCAAGGCCCAGTTTTCTGAATCAATACAAACCATAGCACCAAGCAAGGCTCTTTCTTGCAGGGACCCAGGTTCATGCAGCAGACCCCAACTCTCTGAATCCACAGTGAGTTGGGAAGGAAGAGAAGCTGCAGGACAGTAACACTCCATGTAGCCCTGAGGAAGGGTTGGTGGGTAGCAAGAGCACCCCATTTTCCTTTATGCTAAGTGCTGAAAGGGCACAGTGGGAAGGAGTCCAACTGTGCCAAGGGACCACTATCCCATACCTCTCCCCTCCCGCACATGACCCCACTCTCTACTCTCCAGCTTATATCAAGACTCAGTTTGTCAATAAGAACCCTGTATCTCCCCAAACAACATGGTTGGCTTAGGAATTATCACATGACCAAACCTGGTCCATGCAGAGTTTACGGTAGTCAATTCCAGTACCTGGTCTAGCTGAACATGGACTTTGGAAATAACCATTTTCTCATTTTTTAAAACATTTTTTCAGTGGATTGAGTGTGGGCCTGCAAACCAGACAATCACAGTTTGATTCCCAGTCAGGGCACATGTCTGGGCTGTAGGCCAGTTCCCTGCAGGCCAGTTCCCAGCAGGGGACACACCAAAGGCAACCATACATTAATGTTTCTCTCCCTCTCTCCTTCCCTTCCCCTCTAAAAATAAATAAATAAAATCTTTTTAAAAAATTTATTTAAAAAAACATTTTTAAAAAGATTTTATTTATTTATTTTTAGAGAGAGGAGAAGGGAAGGAGAAAGAAGGAAACATCAATGTGTGGTTGCCTCTCATGTGCCCATAGTGGGGACCTGGCCCGCAACCGAGGCATGTGCCCTGACTGGAAATCAAACCTGCAGCCCTTTGGTTTGCAGGCCGATGCTCAATCTACTGAGCTACATCAGCTAGGGCCATGTCTCATTCTGCTATACATGGGTTGATTTTAACTTATTACTTAATAAAAAGAACTAACACAGGAGGACAGAATAAGGAGAAACCAAGGCTCTCCCTCTCGTCACCAGGTTGTGCCACTACATTAGTAAATCCATAAAATACTATCAACTTCCTTTTTTTATGGTTGTTAACAAGTCTGCATTCACACTTAAAAACAAAAACTAACAAAAGTAAAAAATACTATTCAGTACAGGAGACTAAATAACCATGTATAGTCTCAAAATAAATTTGATTCCTTAAGAAGTCTAATTACTTCCTGTTGTCTTTAATAAGTATATATGTATATATAGTTATGTATGTATATATACACTATATACATTATACATTATATTATATATGTGTATATATACATTATAGTATATATAATACATACAAATATATATGTATATATAACCTGTGTATATAATGTAATATACATATATATTACTTTATGTATATAATATATGTATATATATATTACTTCCTGTTGTCTTTAATAAATATACATGTATACACATATATTTGTATGTATTATTCTATGGTTCTACTTTGGGTCCTCTACTGCACTGAAGATCTAGGGGCATAAAAGCATTTTGTGCCCCACTGAATGATGGCTCTAATTATGCAGAAAGGTTACAAGTGGCAGTCTGGTCCTTCATTGATCTGAACTATTCATGGCTTCATTGTAATCAATTATCCTTTTAGGATCTTCTGCAAATTCCAAACAGAATCCATTTCTTTAGTATGATATACAATAGCAGCTCTCAGGTCAAAAGGACAACCCCAGCTATCATTCCTTTCTAGACTTCTCTGGTATCTGTTCTTTGGTGGAGTCTAACAAAATGTTTGTAGGAGATGCCAGAGGATTTTGACTTTCTATCCTGTAGTCTTTTAAAAGAAACACTAAGGTACCTTCACTACTGCTGTCTGCTTTTTGCAGATTACCTATATTACTGGGTTCCAAGGATAAGGCTCCACTCTCACCGGTAGTCCCAGATTTTAGAATGCTACCCAGAACTTGAGGACTGGTCAATTTTTACAGCACATAAGCTTTGGGAATACAGGATGCTCAGATATTGAGGAAATTATTTCAGCACTCAGTGAAACCAAAGTGGCAAGATGTTCCCCTTGAAATGTCTCATCCATCACTTTATGATCTGATAACTCCTCAATAACAGTTTCAAGGCCAGCACTGGACTCATTTTTAAATGATAAACCCCACTAATTCTGGAAGATATCCCCCAGGTTTTGCTGATATGTCTAAGAGTATAGATTCACTTGGACTGTGCTCAACAGCATAGTTTGCATATTTGAAGGGTAAATTAAAAAGTTAGACTTAGTTAGTTCACCAGCTGCTGAAGGGAGGACTTGTCTCAGAGAACAATCAGTCCCAGAAGAGATGGGTATTAGTGTATTAGCAGCAGTAGTTAGTAGTGGCTGAGCCCCTAAAGAATACATACTTGCATCAGTCCCTGCTAAAACAATTATAAAAGTTGGCTGAAGTAACAGATTTCAGGCCTAACACAGGGACCTGCATTAACCAATTTGAAGATATGGTCTGAGTTACCCCCGTAGATAAAGAAGAGGATAAAGATGGAAATGGTGACACACAATTGTTCTGTAGTTTTGTTGAGGTTTTCCTTAATTTTGCTTGCATAACTTATTTTAAGAACTATTTTAGCACTGTAATTGTACACTGGAAAAACTGGAAGAAGTTTAAATAGGGTCCAAAAGTCCTCTTTGGAGGAAACAACAGAAGCATACTTTCCTTTGAGCCAATCATTAATCATTAATCAGTACCTGGTAATAATATCAGATCTTTTCTGCAGTATATCACCCAAAGCAGGCTTTCCTTGATTTGTTCCTCCAGGCCTATTTTCATACCTCTAAATGGGCTTTGAATCATTTACTTGGTTTCCCTTTTATTCATTGTAGTCAGGCTTTAGTTTCAAATCCCTGTTTGAAGGTTGAGACACTGGTTTCTTGTTGCATTGTTTTCTGCTATACTAATAAATCAAGGTTTTCACAACCCTTGGCATTATTTCTTCTAGCTTTCCTTTTCTAAGGAGTGGCATATCCACTCTAGGCCCACCACCTAATTATCTGCTGCTTTGCCCATATAACCATTAGTAATATAGCCAGAATTACTTGTTACAATACTTTTGGAATTGCTACAGTATTACTCTTATCTGTAGACTGGTTCCAGGTTTAGTTTAATAAGACTTTCCATTCTTTTTGTCCATACTGTTTTTCTGAATTAAATTCCTCATTTTAATTCCTACTTTCCCAAAGGTGCTGGCTTTTAAAGTCTGGTTCAAATTAGTGTCTACAACATGTAGATTGTCATAGAGGACCATGGAAATAGAGTTGGTAATTTCATCAGAACCAAGCTCTTTAAAGATTTTTCTCTTTCTTCAGCATTACCATTTAGTTCATCATAGCCTATTTTCCTCTTCCATTGCTACTTTCTTCTTGCCTGTTTCCAGGTGCTGCTGGAGGGCATTTCTACTCATGTTTCAGCAGCTTTGGCTGGGCCTTGGAGCTGCCATTGGCTCCAAGCTGCAGGTATTAGTGAGGTTGCTGGTGATGGTGGTGATGGTGGTGGTGATGCTGGTTGTGGCTGTGGTTGTAGAAATAATAATGGTGGTGATGGTACAGCTGCTGCTACTGCTACTGCTGCTGCTGCTGTCAGGTAAGTGGTAGTGGCTGTGATGGTGCAGAGTCTGTGGCTGGCCAAGCTTCTCCAAAGAAAACAGCTGGGACTCCCTGGCTGAGGATGCAATTTGCAGTACCATCAGAATCTGAGCTGGACTTTCTTGTCTTCTCTTTATTCTCCAACACATCCCCTGACAAGAACTAGCTGAACAAGTCAGGAAAAGGTAGAAATTCCAGGAGGAACTAAGCCTGCAGGCAAGAACCAGATAAAAAAACCAAGAAAACAGCTAAAAAATTGGTCTGTGCTGGAAGGACCCAAGATGGCAATAACAACCCTTCCCAAGCAACCTTTTGACAAACTTTCCTTCATCAGCATGTTAAAAATAATGCCCATGGGTGGAGATTTAACAGTAATGAAATGTAATTTATGGCCAGGAATGTTCCCAGTATGTTTAGAAACTGTGATGCTCCTCTGCAATTCCTATATCTCCATCTTTTCCTCAGAAACCCTTACCCCCCTAAATCTACCTATCTGCCACTAACCCTTTAAGACTCTCCTAATTTCTTCAAATTGGATAAATAGTGTCTTTAGAGCATAAGCTTGCCCTTCTCTGCGCCTTGATCAAAGAATAAAGTTTCTCCTCTGCTTTACCAAATATAGTCTCATTCTATTGATGTGAGAGGTACTGATTCTATCTATTGGGCAGAAGGACCTTATTTGGGGTCCCTGACACATAAGGTTTTGGTGACACTCTCTCTGGTTGGGAAAGGCCACTGGTGGGAAGGCACCTTGTCTTCTGCAGTGCTCTAAGAGGACCCTAGTGGGGCAGCAATGTCTTCTGCAGGCCAGCAGGTCAGGCCCTCCTTCAAGCTCTTCAAGGCCCCTACAAGTATCTGTATAGTTCCCCTCTGTTCAAAAGATAATCAAGGAAAGTGCTCCAAAGAAAGGCAAAATTCAACAAGAAGCTGCCCAGAAAACCACAGCAGAATGAAAATGAAAGGTCCTTATCTCAAGCAGGGACCTCAAGGTGGCCTTTGTTTCTTTCCAAAGCCATCAG